GAGAACGCTTTCGCTGTCCGTGTCTCTTGCTTGTTGCTCATAACTTGCAAAAGACACAGAATATAAATTTCCACAAAATAAATTCTACAAGAGTATCGGCAATCAGCTACGCCCATCCAATATTATGGAATATGTAAATTTATATTTTTCTGTTTTTCCAATCCTTTATAAATTTTACATTGTAAGCAGAAAATATTGTGCCTCACTGAAAGTCCAAAGTCACCATTTAAGGTAATAATCCGGTAATGTCATTATTAACAAAACAAGCAGACTTCAGGCACCTGACGACAAAAAGATTATCGAACGATAACATCAATTAGGTTAACAGACGTGACAAAAGGAAAAAAAAGGTAATTTCTTGTTTAAAGTGCAATGCACGCAACACGTGTTATGAAATGAATTGTAATCTTAAGCTAGGTAAAGGAATGTAAACAAGAGTATGTCCCAAGTCACAATACACCGCTCACAGATAAGTAAATTTCTGTTGCAAAATACATGCTGCAAACCAATAACCAGCACAGCAATTATTAGGTCTAATAATCTGAAAAGCAAAGTTCTAGGGGATAATAGAATAAGCGAGAGAGAGAGAGAGAGAGAGAGAGAGAGAACCAAACAGAGTACAGTTGAAAATTGATATAATCCATCAAGCTATACTATAAGATTAAATGATCTATGTTTTCTCAATGTCAAGAGCTAAAATTATTCCGTCCTCGAAATTCAATGCCATTTCATAAACTTATGTCGGATGTCGGATGGAAAACATGTCATAGCCTGACATGTTACTAAGGGCCTCTCGCATCACACATCTCCCAGCCTTGCTGGTAGAAAAATTCCGCTCTATGCTTCATCGTATCCTTGACCCTTATATGATCGGTCGATCTAAAATCTCTAATATCGGACTTTGAATGAGTTTTTCAAGTAATGGACTTAGTTTCACAGCTCACCTGAAAAGATCATCGACAATTTGAACATTTCATGAAGCAATAGCGATGCAAAAATGCTAACAACAGTTATAGGTCTATAGCCCTAAACTCAGTTTAGCTAAAGTGCAAACTAAAGAATTCAGATCGATTGACTGACTATTGCTTAAGCGGCTAATAGTATCAGTATGCATTCAACTAGGGAATGCAGACAAAACAAAGGCTATCGTTAACGTTAAATTATCATGACTCAATTTTTTTACGTTACGTTAAGCATTAAAAGTAGAAGACGGGAAGTTTAATTAAAAGAGAAATAAATTTCTTTTTTTGAAAATTTGCCAAAAAAGAGGAAGAAAAGAACAAAAAAAAAAACAAAGCTGACATAAGTAAAAATCTATTTTCGTCCCAACGATTACACATACTCGCATCTACATGCACAAAGAATTTGTATTAGTATATTTGTATACATATTGAAGAAAAAAAGGCGATAAATGTATTGTTGTGAGATAAATTTGTCTTCTTTTTTTTTTTTTTTTTCATTTTTTGTTTAAATTCAACTTGAAAGAATGCATGTGCGTTGTTATATTTATGTATAGACGAGTGAAGGGTTTGTGGCACGCGTTTATTTATTGTTAAATTTAAAATTTCGTTTTGTTTTCTTTTCACAAATTTTTTTCGGAAATGAAGGAAAACTCAAAACGAATTAAGTAAACTGAAAACTGTGAGTCACCTACGAACGGAATTAATCACCTGAGCAATGAATTTAAGCAGATGGCGTTAAATATTTATTTATTTTATTTTTTTTTTTTTGTTTTCCCCATAATTAAACTATTTATACAATTAACACACACCCAAA